ACGCAAATGAATGCAAACAGGCGCTTGCTTTGTGTGTGCACTTTAAGTTTTTCCCTTTATTCTCCAATTAGCCAGAAATGGCATTTCTCTTTGCCTCTAGAAAAACGGTAGATAAGAGGCTCGAATGCGTGCCGTAGGCCCAGTTCCACGACTCGCATCATTTGAGTCTCAGTCGGCTCTTCTGCCTCGACACGACAACACCAAACTCGCCTCCAATACGACCTGGCGTCGGGGCGTTGAAACGGGGATTCGCAGACTCCGCCTCCCGGACACAGCTTATCGGGCGATTCGTCTTCGAGGCGTGAGTAAAAGCCAAGTGAGATAACCGGCCAAAGGGAGTGGTGCTAATGATGACGCAGATAACGACTGAAAAGTGAATCTGCCTGACCGGGCGGTGGGGCAGGAGGGTAGAAAAGATGAGATAATCCGAGGTTTTAGAGACAGCATTCTTCTGTTGGCACACGGACAAGCGTGTCGGACAGTTATGTACACACATTGTGAGACTAATTAAAAGCGAGGCAACGACTACGTGCTTTTCTCTTCCAGATGGCCATCGCGCTCTTCTGTCGCCTTCAGGCTCTGGTTGCCCCTTGATTTCCTCCGATTGAGTCCCTCGGCTTGCCGACCGAACACACACAAGACAAGCCTATCTACGCGCGAAATCGCGGCGACTACAACAACACAGACCGGCTTCTGTTGTTGCGGCGGGTGTGTCTGTGTCTGGTGGAGTTGTGCTTTTTTGTTACTCGAGCGAAAGTTGCAACCGACAACCACAAAAGGGTGGGCTTCATTCGCCCCTGGGGCTCATTCTGGCCACAGTCGACCATGCCTCGCCAGCTCCTGTTTGTTTATCTCAATATCATTATCAAGCGGGCCCTTCCCAACGTGTTCATGCGTTGTCCGCCAGTTGCCCGATTCTGCCCTCTACCCTTTTCTCCCCTTTTCCACTCACTTCGTCCGCCACTCCCTCTCGCATCGCCCGGCCCGTTAACATGTTCACGCGCAGACTTCTTTTTTTTATCTCATGCTCCCTCTCTCCCCCTCCCCACCTCTCTTCCTGTGTCATACTCTCTCTCTCTCTCTCTTTCTCTCACCGAGTACATCCTCAAATTGCAGGCAGACAAGCAAGCCGAGTGCTGTATTGTGCAAGCCGATTTTCAGACTTGCCCAAACAACATGCCCCCTTCCATGTACGGCGTGGATGAGTACTCATGAGATGAGAGATACAAAGTTGGTAGGTGAGAGGTGACCCCGGCTTTGAGGGACGAAGGTCATAGGGACGTCTGGCCGAAACGAGGTCAGCTTTCGCCAATCTGCCTTCGGCCTCATTAGCCTGGTTGACTCAAGTCGGCCATTCGGCTTCTCGTGTCTCTGCGACTCGCTGGTTTGAACTTCGTCCGAGACCCAGAAAGAAAGGCCTCGAACACTTCGAGTTCGAGATATGCAAATCTCGAGTCAACCTGAATCCCTTCTGGACCTGACGGGGGTCTGTAAAAATGCCTCTGGCTAATTCGATAACCACTTTTACTACTTCGCCCAGCAGAAGAATTTGGATGGTGCAACAACAATCATGACATGCATTTGTCTCATGCCTCTCAGCCGGAATTAATTGTCGATACAATCTGGCAACGAGTTGGTCGTGTAGAGATCTTGTCACTTTCGGTTTCGTAAGTGGATTCAAAGTCTGATATCTGAATTTGTCAGAATGCAAGCAAGTGAAGGCCTCACGATGCCATTGAATTTTAATCAAATTTCCCTCCAGATAAGTTACGTGAAATTCAGCGATTACTTGTAGAAAGTGAAAAAATAATGTTTGGTTCAAGATCTATTGGTTGTCCCAATATCGAACCATCACATTAATCTTTATTCTGATTCTGCCAAAGTTTAACATTGATGAATATCAATGTCAATTCCCTGTCTGGGCATCATGGGCTACATTGAAGATGAAGGATTGGCGTATTTTCAACAACGATATATCCTGAATTTGTCGTAGTTCCCGGTACTTTTCAGGTGGACAGATACCAGTCGAACAAAAATTGCCGTTAGGCTTACTTCCATTTCGAGTGAAAGTGTTGGGTGAAGAGACTCGAAGGTGGGTTCCACCAGAAGACGACGGCGGATTCCTCTTGACCAGCTGTCGATTGGCCTTACTGGAACATTCATGCTGATGCTGTTTCCGAGGCAATCTTTTTCGAGTCCGGTGAAAAGGTGCTAAGCTTTTGTCCGTCACAGGACGAACATCATCAGAGCAATGTATCATCGTCACAACAAAATTCAAGCTAACGAGTCAACAAAACTCAGCATAAAGCTTCCAGTAAAGCCAATCGACAGCTGGTCGTCTTCTGTTGGTACCGACCTTCGAATCTCTTCACGCAACATTTTGACTCAAAATGGAAGTAAGCTCAACAATAATGAAACGAGAGATTCTTCGAAACACAACTTTTCTTCGCAAAAATTACCGTTACTCATTCTTCTTCACAGCCCCCAGTAGAGCACGAAAGCAACTCGTATGCGATTGGAAATATGGAACAGATTCAACATAACCATGCCAATGTCTGAACTCAACCTCATTCAATTTGGGTAGTAACTGTCAGTACGTTCCATTCCCATCGGCTCTACATTCGAGGTTTCAACTTCGGGCAGGGGGGTTCGTGTTATTCAAAAAGGGCTGAACTTAAGTAGCCAAGAATTTGGCTTGTCTGCGATTGAATTCGAAAGTCGACAACAAAGTAAAGAATGCGATTCATCCTTTCAAGTTTAATG